CCCCCAAAAAAAAAGCTTCCTTGCATATTTCATGGTCATCAAATTTTTGCATGAATCATCTTTTTTCCGACTGAAATATTACCGGTGCTTTTATTTTTCATTTTCCCCATAATGTAAATTTCTTGATAGTCTTTGGTTTCTTTCTTTTTTTTTTCTTTTTTTTTTACGATTGATGTTAATGTTGTTGATGATTTTGAACATTTTCTTAACATCAGAATATGACATCCATAACCACATTTTCTTCTATCAGTGATTTATTCTCAAAAGATGTCGCCATATCAACATTTATCAGAAATTCATACTTTCTTTACACCCTAATCTATTGCTTGTTCTGTTTCATACATATTTTCAAGCATAATATTACTGTCGATATAATTGTTATTTTCTTCAGCATTGAGTGTAATGTTTTTGGTAAAAGTTCTATTTTAAGCTGAACAGTTTAAGAAAATTGGTACAAAAGCATTTATTATCAGAGACTATAATTTTTTTGTGTGTACTTATTTGATTATTTCAATTTTTTTGAGCAAAAATTCCGTTGCACACCCTCCTTCGTTTCTTCCCCTAAACATATTCCTTTCCTGTTAATTGAGTATAGAATTATTTATCGATTCCCCCCCCCCCCCCATTTTGTAGTTGCTTAGGTTCCAATCTCCCATGTTACCAGTATCTATATCCAAACGAAGATAGGTTCTCTTTTTTTTAGCTTGAACTTTTAACGGTTTCCTTTTTATGCGGATTTTTCTTTTGATGCTTGTCAATTATCTCTCTCTCTCTCCCCCCCCCCCCCATTTCGAAATCGAAGCTAGACTCTGAGCTGGTCTAGTTGTGCATATAAATGTGATTAACTATGGATTAAAATCGAAATGGCTTAATACATTTTACAATGTGTTTTACAGATAAAGGAGCGCTTATAAAGAAAGCGTAACGTTATATGTGCATTGATCTCTCTCTCTCTCTCTCTGAAAAAAATATATACACGTACATTTATGTAGAATACCTTTTAATACTAAGAATACTTAATACGAGTCAAATTTAAGCATTTGCAAATTGCTCAGAAAACAAATATACAGTATCTTTAGCCATGCATAATATATAGAAATCGCTATAAATTGCTGAACCTAACAACGTGCTCAATGTCGCGTTTAGATTAATGTTTAGATTTTGTGATATCAAGTTGACAAAATAAATACACAGACAAAACTATTAATAAATGCATGTACTAAATAGTAATCATTCTTTTTATTAAAAATTTCCGCGTCAAATTTCATATAATTTGATATTTTTTTGGTTAAACGTGGAAATCCAATATTATTTCTTGTACACGAAACGCAGTCGATAAAATTTACTTCCGTGTTTACAATAACTCGACTTTGACGTCGTTTTCTGTGCATTGTGACGTCAAAAGATAAGGGCCCTTTTCTCATGACGGCAGTCAATTAATTTAAGGAATAACTGTCAAATTTTTTGGATTCATGATGTGATCAATCGAGTGGCTTGCGTGATAATTTGCATAAACGCCAAAGGCGTTTATGCATAAAATTATCACGCAAGCCAATCGATTGATCATCGTCATGAATCCAAAAAATCTAACAGTTATTCCTTATATTTACATGCTCCTGATTCTGCAAATTCCCGTGCTAATAGTCCCGCTTCTGTCTCTATTTGTCCCGCCCCGCACGTGATTTTTTTTTACCGCGCCTCTCGATGAACCAGTAGATCTATGTAGAAATAAAGTATTTTTACAGTTTGTAATTTTATCTCGGACAAAGTCATTGGAAATGTAAATATTAAGAAATGAAATTCTATAAATTTCATTGTAAATCTCGATCCTTATACCTACTTGGTTTAAATAAAGAATTTGAGGCTAAAACTAATAAATGAAGAAGGTGAAGATAACGAACAGTGATCAATCTAAGAAAAAAACTTCAAACAATACAAATCCCAAATCATTTTTATGTTAAAATTTCTTTGAGCACACATAACATTCAAAACATCTATTAATCATTATGTCCTGCAAACTTCTTTGACCTAAAGAATAATTTAAGAACAGAATTGGTTTTTTAAATAGATGTGTTGATGGATTCCATTATTTTCAAAGTAAAGGATGGGTATGTGTTTAAATCTAGTCCAGAAACATTTTTCCAAATCCATTACTCATATACTGAAAAGGAGGAACGTTGGGGCTGGAATGTCACCATTTATATATTAGTTTTCATGAATGTATCCAGTATAATATACACACGGCATTTTCCTTAGTCTTAAGGGAGGCCCACGTTTACCGGATGCCCGATGTCTTAAGCAACGTTGATCACTATTCTAAAGAAATAACAACGCTCAGAAAGAAACATAGCCTAACATTTTGTGCTGGTTTTCGTTTGGAAATAATTGTTTTTGTTCCTTTTAAAGGTGGTTACGTGGAGGATATTACCATTATCGGGGCTGGTATTGGGGGTACCTACACAGGATGGAGGTTAAGAAACAAAGGCCTCCGTATTGGCATTTATGAATACTCTAATCGTGTCGGAGGCAGGATGTATACGAGAACTTTTCCAGATGCCCCTGACCTTCCCGTTGATTTTGGCGCCATGCGGATCAGACCTGCAGAACACGTGAGGATGAGGAAATCCGGGAGAGAATTAGGATTAACATTTGTACGTTTTGTTGAGGAAACAGGGCGGATCCCGGGACGCACTGAAATGTATTTTGTAAAGACATTATATTCATAAACATTCTTTGTAAAAATATCTAGGTCACTAATCTTATATTTGAAATCGTATTCTATTTATGACATTTAACCAATACCTTAAATATTATATTCGTTCCTGATTTCACATACAGGAATATGTCATTCTAAGACATATACACTTCTTTTTCTTTTTTCTTTCAGAGTTTTATCATTGATAAAATTAATGTGAATTAATAATTAAAAAAAAATTATATTTGAACTAAATTACTGACTCTTAATGTAATAAATAGAAGTTTGGAAATTAAATGTACAGATACAAACGTAAGTAATAGAAAAAGAAATTGATGTGTGCTTCTTATTCTACCTTTCAGCACACTATCTGATTACTTCACATTCTCGAACGGGTCTGATTCAAAATCCGTATTAAAAAGTATTACTGCTTTCACTATCAGAGATATGGTATCGTTATATTTCCAGAGGTTTGTAAATATATAATTTTTGTTATGTTTATTCAAGTTTTGTAGCAACAATTTCTGTAGATAAACGTAGGATCGTGTCCTATTTATTTTGAATCGGAATAGCGTATACCCTGTGTCTATTTGGCATAAACCTTTGTATGTTTGAAAGACAACGACAAAAGCAAAAGAGCAATAACCCAGTGTAAAATACGAATGTGCATTTTAACTAAAGAACGTATAACGAACTTTGGGTCCTAAATTATGAATCGTACGATTTAAGAGGCGATGTTAGGTTTAAGTTGCGTGGTTAACAGATGGGGAAAATATGAGCACAATGACAAGTTTTCAAAATCCTAAGCTAAGCATTATAAAAATATTTACACTTTTAAAAAGTCTTACAAAAAGCTGGAATAAGCAACGAGACATAAAACTTTAGAATTGACTACAATTTGTTCAATAAATTTTTCAGTGAGGATGACCAAAATATTAAGCGATTCCCAAATTCACGACAGGAATTTGAAAAGAACACGATCTATCCAGGACTTCCCAGGACTGTCTTTGTTCCCACAGGAATGAGTTCATACCCATTAGGATTTCTGAGGCAATTCTTATCACGGAACCCGAGAAGGTATCTTAAAAAAATCGTGCAAGAGAAATTTTTATGCCGAAAGAATAAAGCCCAAGTGAAAATGTTTTTTTAAAAAAACACATGACATACGGTGATGGTGACAAAGACATGTATTCAGAAAACATATAATATCAAATCAAATTAAATCAAATATTCGTTCAGTTTATTTGTAACTGACAATTTAAACAGAAGAATTATAACTTATGCTAACCATCTACAAACGTATAGGAAACATTAAATTCCACTATATATGAGTGAAAAAGATAATGGAATATGCTTTATATAGCATTTACAATATCAGGAACCAGGAAGCAGGGTAAAAGTCAAAATTAATGGATGCATTCACTACTGTACCTGTACTTAAAAAAAGCGATCTTCATATTTAATTATGCAGCTTTGGCGCAGACAACGATGCGCTAATTCATGAATACCGCTAAGAAATCATTTATAAATACAATATACTGCAAGGAAATGTATAGTCTCCTAATTCATGATTTCGCCAACAACTCAATACCCAGTGATTGCGCTAAATTTTGAATACGCCCATTTATGTAGACGTACAGTATTTTAACATATACCGTTCACATTATTAGTGTGACTTTAGCTTGCACTCTATTAAAACCAGCGAAAACAGTCCTGTCTCAAACAGCAAAATAAATTTATTGATGCACGAGGAAAGACAAACAAAGCCAACCGATAGGTCTGTTTTGTTTTTGCACTGCATCAAATAAGTTTAAGATTCAGTGAATCTTTTAGAACATTATTTATACTATTCATGAAATTATTACATATGATACGAAATAAATATACACAGACGTTAATTCTTAATTTGCAGTAATTTTTTTTGTTCAGATTAACTATTCATTTAATAAAACTATTCAAAATTCTTAGGAGAAATACCGATTTAATAACCATGCATTGCCAATAAAAAAGATACAATAAATCCAAATCTTGACAAGTAAATATACATTTATTATATCTTACACTCTCTTATCTTTATTATTATAGAAGTGTTTAATTCTTGTTGTAGGCACCAGTATCATCAAAACAGTCAGCTTATAAAAATATCAAGAATAAGAAGAGATCTCTACCGACTGAGATTTAGAAGAACAAGAACTATCAATGGCCAAACTATTCCCACAAAGAAATACTTCACAGTTTTGACACGTAATGTAATTCTAGCGCTACCCAAGGTACCTATTCAGCGGATTCAAATGCCAAAATCGAACAATAATACTTTCCAATTGGCACTTAATTCTGTGATTGATGTACCAACGTCAAAGATTTTCCTCGTGTACGAATACCCTTGGTGGCTTGAAGAGCGCTTCAATTTCACTTTCATTCAGTCAGATCTACCGTACAGGCAGTCTTTCCACTGGGGGATATCTCGCAATGATAAGGCAGTTTTGCTTGTGTCCTATACTGACCTAGACGATGTAGCCTTCTGGAGTCATCTTCAAAGAAGAGGAAGGGTCATTAGTAAAAGGAATGATGATACTCGAGTAACGGACGAGGTTTTAAGACATGTACATAGTCAGATTTCGAATGTTTACAAAATAGACTACGGATGTATTCCTGTCCCTGTGGATGGTATGATGTTTGTTTGGGACAAGTATCCCTTTAATGGAGGATGGGTTTCATGGAAACCAGGGTCAAAATCATACATTAAAAACTATCTGACAAAGCCATTTCCCCAAGACAATATTTTCATAGTCCATGGGTACTGGGGAGGGATACATAACGGTTGGGGGGAGAGTTCGCTGGAGGCCGCTGATGATATATTGACTCACTTTGGTGTTCCATCTTATCTTTCCAATACATTATACAACAAGCAGGAATAAAACATGATTGTTTTATTTTATGTTTGAAAAAAAGACATTTTGTGGAAGGTGAATACTATTCATTTAGCAGCTGGTTTAGTAATGAGAGACTGAACAAAATTAATATATCAATCAAGAATACAATGTATACCCTAATTGTATTTCTGATAATAAAATACAACTTCTGATATTTTTTTTTTCGCGAAGTAAATTTGATAAAATTAATTTATTATGTAACTGTGAAAACATTTGTTTTCTTAATAGAATTGTTTCAATTAACATTTTTCTGAAATATGCTTAGCATTAATTATCTATCAAGTGATGTTAAGGCAGTAAAATGTAATGTGAACTAAAATCTAAAATAAAGAAAATGTCATTTCTCTGCATCAGAAAGTATTTGACTATATCATATGTTATTATTCTGAATGTTGAGTTTAAAACCGAAGGTCACATGATTTGTAAGAGTCAGTCTTAGAACTGCTGTGGAAACTCATTAAGTAAATGTAAGACACACCGGAAATTCCGTCATCAATGATTTAAGACTTTTTCGTGGTAAAAGAAAAACGTGTGAATTTCTGCTTTAGTTTCGTTTTTGTTTTATATAGACTTAACTGATTTTTTCCCTCAAAAATACAAACTTTCACTTTTATTTGCCTGACTTCCCTTGAATATTTTTTTCACAAGTTCATTTATGCTACATAAAATAAAACATTCATTGTAGGTGAAATATTTCTTTTCAAAATTTGAAAAATTAAAAACAAATATGCCATCTTTGTTAAAAAAAGATTTGCCGTTATCCAGTAATTCTTGTAGGAAAAATATGTCTTGTATTTTGAGTATGAATACCATAGAGATAAATAGCTAAATATAATTTCTTATATAATTTTATATATATATATATATATATATATATATATATATATATATATATATATATATATATATATATATATATATATATATATATATATATATATATATATATATATATATATATATATATATATATATATATACACACACACACACACACACACACACACACACACACACACACACACACACAAATACATAACCTAAAACCAGAAAATACAGTATACCAAGTCTACCTATATCGACAATGTGTCAAATAACTTCTTTTTGTGCAGTAAAGAAGGAACTTAAGTTTTTTTTTAGGACCTCGGTACATTTTGTTTTATTTTTTTTCATGTTGACGCCTGTGACAATTTACATAAAAAGAATTTAAGAATAGCCAAAGCCATTTTCTTCATGCCTTGAAAGAAAGCGATCTAGAATTGTTGTGTTCTCTTAGTAAATAAGAAAAAAGTTAAAAGAATACATTTTTTACTTATCAAGCTACTAAATACACTTTCATTTGTATGAATATTTTTCTGTTTATTTCATTAAACAAGTGATATTGAAATTACAAAATAAGAACAGTAGCTATTATTATTTTCTGAACTATGCTTTCTACCAACATGTAGAAAAAAAACTAACATGCTGTTACTGATTACTCCTCTTTGGCACTTGATCCAACTTCTGTAATTTCTAGGGGTTCCTTTTTTATTCCCTGTTCACAGATTTGTTTGTGGATCGTTTTGAGATCAATCACTTTTCGTTATTTTAACCTTTTTCATTGATAGACATTATATTTTCAACTACACTGTGAACATTCTTCAAAATTTGAGGAAATGGTAGACTCTGTAGTGTCTTTTATTTCGAGTTCACTGAGATATGAGTTGACATATGAAAAGAAGTAATTATTTAATTGATAAAAGGTCGTCAATCTATCTAAATGTTGAGTTGTAGGCCATAGCAAGAGTTTTTTTTTCTCAATAAATCATGCTGCATAGGAATATAAAACCACGTCGGCTAATAAAGGAGCACAATCAGTGCCCAACGCAATTCTAACATTTCCTGGAAGACCTGGTCTTAAAAAACTTCATAGATATTGTCAATGAGGAATCCAGCATCTATTTGATATTTACTTCAAAGTACTTCTATGCAGAATTCGAGTGTCTCTTAACCAATCTCAAGATATGCAAATTTATGAATTCCATTTTTATTTAGGAAAAGTTTTTCCAGAATATTCTTGGCTAACATGAGGAAAAAAATTAGGAGAGGGGACAAACTTTTCTTTTTCACTCTTGTTTATCAGTAGCAACGAGATACGTGTTTTCTTCCATATATTTTGTTAGTTCATTACGACTCTCAATGTAAATCATCTGACTGGCAGTTTTGTTTGTGGGACACTTTATTTCTTGTCCTTGGGAATGATCATAATTTGAATGGAGGTAACTATTTTAGCTTGCTGGCTCTGTCCTTAACTCAACTGAGCTCAACTGAAATTCCTCTTTGGCAGAACAATTAGGACTCTGGAACATTTCCGTTTTCTTCGCACAACACGGAGACAATGGAGACAACTCTATGTAATATGTTTTTCTTGATTGAGCAAACAAAACTTTAGCATCTGCTTTCCCGTTAAAAAGAAAATTTCCTTGTAGTCTGTTTGCACGTTCGTACTCAAGTAATTCTTCATAATGTTCTTCAGCATTCAAACTGTCAGAGTCTTTGTTACATTTTGGGGTTTTATATGACATGCATCTTCTTTTTTTTTAATGATGGATATGATTAAGACAAAAAAAAAAAAAAAAAGGAGCGTAGTTGCTATAAACATTCCAATTTGCAAAACATCGTAGTCATCTTTATAATAATGTACCATGTCTTTACATTTGAAGCAGTCCTTAAGTTCGGAATAGTGAGTTTCTATTCTCATTATGCTGAGCAGGTGTTTCATCATTTTTAATGTTTACAGTGGCTGCAACGTTATTGTTGACAACTTACACGAACGATCACGTTACACGAACGATTCCGCACGATTAACGCACGATAAAATCTGTTACACGAACGATCCTTCACGCACACGATTCTACGCGTTACACGATCTTACACGATTGCTAACGCAAACGCACGATTCTTCACGCAAAATAGTTCAAATTCTTTAGGAATGGATATTTTCAAAACGAAATAAGGCTGAATACTTATTTTAGTTTGCAAATAATTATTGATATTATTTCATCGACTTTGAAAAATGAAAAAAAAAAAATAGAAATGGATATTTCTGGAACCAAATTCATGTAAGACTTATTAATTATTCTAGATTACAAATAACAAATAAATATTTAAGTAAATCTCCGACTTAAGAAAACTGATTTTTTTTCTATCAGAAGATGTACATGTAGGTGGATCGTGAGTTTTGATTGAATTGGATTTCATAATATGCAGAAATAGATAAGTTTGAAAAAATGGCATGAAAATGAATTAAATTATGTTATATCCATGTTTCCATTTGCGAATCTCTTAAATCAACAATTATTTTACAAAACATTTATTTGCAGAAATTATAAAAATAATTAAAATTAAGCTCCAGAGATAAAGACCGAGAAACGAAATCCCGACAATTATGTCGTACATGTATACATGTACATGTACATTCGCCGACTAAATATTTATGTCAGCATTGAGAATTGTTTATTTATTTATTTGTAAAATTATCTATTTTTGATCTATTGATTTTAAAAATTTCTTGACCATAATTAGCAGTAAACATAATTAACATCAGAGAAAAAAAATCCTTAATCATCTAAGTACGGTTTATCACAAAAAAAAAATTACGCTATTTGACGAGAACACAATATTGTACGACTTACTATATTGCTTATTTCCAAGCGATAATTAGTTCGTACTGCTTTTAATTATGTAAATCACTCTTCATTTATTTTATTTGGATTAAAAAAAAAAAAAAAAAAAAACAGACAAGAGAAATGCTTGTATAACAAATAACATTCCGATAAAAACTTACAAAACGAAATTTACACGTTTCTTAACGCACGATCACGCACGATTAAAGCCGCAAACGATTGAGTCTGATACACGCATGATCTCGCACGTTACACGAACGATCACGCACGTTACACGAACGATTCTACACGATTGGTTTTTCAACAATAACGTAGCAGCCACTGTACATCTGTTATGTACTCTGTAGTAGAGAAGGAGTCTAAGATCTTTTCGCCTGAAAATAGAAATTTGAATCCATATTTTCTTTAGCAATTATTAAAAGAGTTTGAACATGAACGCAAGATTATTTTCTACGTGCGGACAATTTACAAAACGAGGCAAGCTATTGAAAAGTAAGTTGATGATGCATGCACAAAGATATCAGCAGTCTCGTATTTGTAAATTCAATGGTCGATACAGTGGCCTTGTTAGCAAATACAATCGTTCGGTAATTTGAATGTTGACTGACGTTTTCCATATAGATTGTTAAACCATTATTTTCACACTGAATTGAATACAGATGTTTCCTTTTACCGATCATGAAAAGTAGTACACGGTGGGTGTGACCGGTCGACAGTGGATTCTTACCTCTTCATGACACCTGCTGTCACGGTAGCTCAGTCGGTAGAGCGCTCGCTCCGTGTTCGATTCATGGCCGTGACTTACCTAAGTTGATAAAAAATAGGTAGCAACTGTTCCTTCGCCAAGCGCTCAGCACTTTGAAATGAAAGTTGCGGGTTCTTCGGATGAGACCTTAAAAACCGAGGCCCAGTGTCACGGTAAGCGTTTACACGATTAAGAACCCTCACTGCTCAATGGGCCTGAGTGCGGAGTAAAGGTTTTAATTTGAAGTCATTCATCGGTATATGGTGACAACTTTATATGAGTAAACAATCTCAAGCGGGACGTAAAACAACATACAATCAATCAATCAATCATGACACCTGTTCCTTCCGATTATGTTTTGAGGTCCATTTTTGCTCTGCTCTTCATTTGTATTGTTTCAATGGATGTTTGAGCATAATTACTATTCATTATCATCATATTTCATTGAAGAATACCAAGAGTAAGACTAAGTTCAATATAGATAGAATAAACATTTCTTTAACAAACATTTGTAATCGTATAAAAGGAAACAATCAATACCATTTGCATTTCCGCATCCGTTTGCTTAGTCGCAAATTTCTTTTTCACAGGCACATGTGTTTTTGCACAGTTCTCCGT